CACTCTCGCCATGCTTGGGGTGAAATTTTATATATATATATATATATATATATATATATATATATATATATATATATAGATAGATAGATAGATAGATAGATAGATAATATTAGTGGAAAATATACATACATATGCAAAATATATATAAAAATATACCCATACATGTATATTTTCAGAAAAAATTTTTCCAAGAGGAAGAATCCAGGTAGAACTCAATGTCCAGGACAGAGTAAGGATATAATAAAAAAGGCTAAACACTAATATTCCATTGTCATAATTTATTCCATTGGAATCGTAAATACGATCCAATTCATCAGACCTACAAATTCAAGGTCTCATGATTTGGATCGTATTTACGATTCCAATGGAATAAATTATGACCATGGAATATTAGTGTTTAAGCTATCTTATTATATATATATATATATATATATATATATATATATATATATTGCATTTGCAGAGTTATATTTTACAACATTTAAGGTTTTTGCATAGGTATATTTAACAATTTTAAAGTTTTTTTATTATTAGCCGTAAGAAAACACTTTCTGTCGTAATTTTACATTTCACAAGTAGAAAAACAATGATTATTCTGAAAAGTTTTTTTTTTTATTATTTCTAATGAATATTATTTTTGATGTTTTATACACATATATATTTGATATGCTAGTTTCTATAAAAACGACAATGGTAACTACTGACATTAAACATAAGGAATAAATAAACTCTTAAAACTCCAGTCTGGGACAAAAATGCGCATGAAAAAATTTGGCCGTTAATTGGTTAAAAAGAACCAAACCTTCATTTAAATACAATCAATATCAATAAATAACATGAACACGTGTAATAATAATATATATATATATATATATATATATATATATATATATATATATATATATACTTATTATAAACGCAGATTGTGTGTGTGTGTGTGTGTCTGTAACGTTTATATATTGGATCGGATTTCCTACATTTTTCAACCGATTTCAACAAAACTTCACAGGACTACATAAAATTACCTTGTGGTGGTTCTAACAGTGCCAAAAATGGAAAAAATATAATTGTTTTTGCACAAATCAATTTGAAAACACGATTAAGAGATATCATGAAAATGGAAGGGGGACAACTCACATCGGGTTGTTTGTGTGTGTGTGTGTAGGTTCCTTTAAATATGGGAGTGGATTTCCTATATTTTTCAGCCGATAAAACACAACTTCACTTTTTTTTTTTTTTTTTTTTTTGCACGTAGTGTTTCTTATTCTCTTGCACACTTTTTTCTTTATTTTTAACATTCAGAATGCTTTAAAAATTCCTTTTACAAGACAATTATTTATAATAAAATTTAATCGGTAGATTCATAACGATTGAAAACAATGTTTTTGTTTGAGTTTGGGTTTGACCAATTCATAAAAAATAAAATAAAAAAAACTAATTAAGACATGCGTGTCCGTCAACCTTAAACAATAATCTAACGATATCTACTGATTGTACGAATACAAACATCGGAATAAATTCTTTATCTTTAGGGAAAGATAATGAAATCTAAACATACACAAGTCCTAACTAAAAAATAATAACCGGAACGGGAAACTACTTTAAATACACATGTTGTCCAATTTTTTTACTGTATTCAATAAGTAAAAATCATAAATTGTAAAAGATTATTAATACAAAAAGGCTATTAAATGAATAAGATTTGTTAGATCATAATTAATAAACCCAAATAAAGTTAATATTTTTTGTATTAGAAACAATGAGTGGAAAATATATTCAAATCAGAATTCTAATTATGAATCACCACAAGCAAAATATGCATTTTTTTTACTGTATTCAATAAGTAAAAATCATAAATTGTAAAACTAAAAGATTACAGAAAGGCTACCTACATTTTTCAACTGATTTCAACAAAACTTCACTTTTTTTGGGGGGGGGCATGTAGTGTTTCTTATTGTCTTGCACACTTTTTTCTTTATTTTTACATTCAGAATGCTTTAAAAATTCCATTTACAAGACAATTGTTTATAATAAAATTCTATTCAATCGGTAGACTCATAACGATTGAAAATAATGTTTTTGTTTGAGTTTGACCAATTCGTAAAAAAAAAATAACTAATTAAGACATGCGTGTCAGTCAACCTTAAACAATAATCTTTGTCAATTTTATTTTTCAGTCTTTATGATGGTGGATACTTGATCTATCTCTTACTGTTATATCCCTGGGCAACGCCGGGCTCTACTGCTTGTATATATATATATATATATATATATATATATATATATATATTAAAGTAAATTATGAAAGGACCGAATCAGTTATCTTCCTACATTACCGTGGTGCGAGGTCAAGGCATATCTAGTTGGTCTGTGAAGTAAAATTCGAGAAAGATCAAACTAAATGATTCCAGCTTCAGTGTTTTATATTTCTCTCTTTTTACAAATAAAGAAACATCTGTATCCATTATATTACTATTAGATACAGAAAATTCTCACAAAATTTATAATAATTAGGGTTCAAAGTTGTCCGTGAAATTATAAAAGGATTACATACTTCTCATTTATATGCCGTATCCCATCATTACCTAGGCGATCATGGCCCTCCACAATTTCCTGTCGTTCGTATCTCTTAATAAATTTTGCCTTTTTGTTATTTCTCCTAAGCCCTGTTCAGGCATCCCTTTACTTAACCTCTTTAAGAATTTTAGGCGTTGTTTTGCTCTGACCCACTTGCCTTCAATTTGTTCTCTGAGTATCAAATTTTCCAAGCTCTCTTTCCTCATTATGTGATGTAAAAATTCTAACTGTCTCTTCCTGATATTATATTTAAGATTCTGTTATGGAAATTTACCCACGCACGCATGGACTCTTCCAGCTATAAATAAGAGCAGGTAGTGCCTTTTGGGGAGGAAAGTTTCCACCAGTCAACTCTGACAGTCGGACCGAATATTCTTGCTGTAACACTCTCGTTTGTATGTTTGTATTACTGTTTCTGTTAATATATTTAACTCAATTCATCATCTTTATTTCTGACCCTAAAAAGGCCACAAAGATTCCTTTTTGTTTCCATTTTCGTTAAAACTTCCTCGTTGCTCACATGTTCGGTCCATGATTTTGATACTTATGCTAATTTCCCGTCCTTTGCAGCTCTTAATAAGTATCTTTGGTTATTTCTCTTAAACTCTGTTCCGCAACCCGTTTACGGAAGCTCACTACGTATGTTATGCGTCGTTTTCCTCTATCAACGCTTGTCCTCAAACCATCCTGTGAGTATCAGATATTCCAAGCCCTCTTTCCTCATTATATGCCCGAGAAATTTCAACTGTCTGTTCCAGAGTTTAAGTATAAGTTTCCTTTTTGTTTCGAATTTCTCTCAAATGCAAACTTATCCATGCACGGACTTGCACAAAATACGACAAAAGGATAGAAACAAATTGCGATTTGGTTTCCGGACAAAAATTGTTCATACCCTGTGTAGACATACATTTTGGACAGGTTTCTGTTGTCCGATTATTGCCGCAGCCCCTATCCACATTGATATTCAATGACAACACCAGAGATAAATCATGCTGACTATATAATTGACCAGAACCGCCTGGAACTATAAAAATAACATTTTTTGCACATCCTTACTTCCCACCAAACATGGAAAAAACAACAATGAAAGTTTATTTCTTTTAACCTATTAACTACCCTTTTTTTCATGCGCATTTTTGGCCCAGGCAGGTGTCTTATGAGTTTATTTATTCCTTATGTTTAATTTCAGTTGTTACCATTGTCGTTTTTATAGAAACTAGCATATCAAATATATATGTGTATAAAACATCAAATATGGGTGTTGAAAGATATTTAACACCACTATTTGATAAGACGCCAGAAGTGTTGAAAGAAAATGGCTATCTTTGTAGCGATTTTATAACGTGTTTATATTATAATTTTTTCAAATTTATATATATATATATATATATATATATATATATATATATATATATATATATATATATATACTGACAGACTGTTTCAATGCACCACAGCTCATCAGTGTGGCTAGATGTCCGATTGCGTCAAGCCAGAATCGAAACCCGTCCGATCTGGCATCAGTCGGAGACTCTCATCCCTAAATCATCGAGCACGCTAGAAGAAAAAAAAAATTTAACACATTATATACAAGATATACGCCTTACCGTGTACCAGAGGGCTCAATTCACAGCGAAGAAAGAAATCAACTGAGGGAAGTGACGACCGAACTCACATCATGGGCAAATGAATCTGAAAAAAGAAAACCTTCTTGGACATTGTCGAAAGCGAAATGTCGTAAGAATGTCTGAGTAGCCGGCAGAAAACACATCCGAGATCGAAGTCTTGACGACCCTATCAATATATTCAAACAATAGAGGAACAACTACCAGATGGAAACGTTCATACATCGACTGTCAATTCAATTTATATATTGTTATTGGAAAACTTAGCAAGGAGCTAGAGATAACTTTATTTTGCCAGTGACCTATCCACTTGTAATAAAGCTATTCTACCTGAATTTACAATGAAAGGAGCATTTATGACTTTCGCCACATTGTCGACGAATGTTCACGTCGATATATGCCGACAGCTGAGTATGCTTTATTGAGACGCAATACAATTAAATAGTCCCATCTCAATTCTACTAATAAGATTTTGAGATGGGGATGAATTCATTGATACAACCGAAGAAAAATATACATTTCAATAAACGAGAGAAATAAATAAGACCTGATATAAACATTTCTGGATTGGTCAATAAGGTACACTTCAGAGACAGACAAAACAGACATTATGGACGAGGTAAAGATATTCTGTTTGGCAATAATTCAAACACTAACCCTGGTTAAAGGTTAGAATTCTTCAATGCTGTAAAAATACAAAATGCAGTAAAGACAACACATATCTAAAGACGAATTCTTATTTATCTGTCCTAATTTGTTTTTCTATGTTTAAATATATGGGTATATGTATGGAGATTAATGATTATTAATATCTATCTATCTATCTATCTATCTATCTATCTATCTATCTATCTATCTATCCAATGTCTCCATATCTGTCTATTTTTCTCAGACTGTCCATGTATATCTTTCTGAAGTTCTTCATTTCTATGAATGTATATATCTCTCTGTCTATCACAAGCTGTTCATATATATATATATATATATATATAACTTTTTAAGAAAAAATGGTCTGTATGCTTAGAATTTTAGAATTTACATTTTACATATATTAGCCGTACTCTGTAGCATTGAGACATGTTCATCTCTATTTATCTCAGCCTGTTCATACCTAATATATATATATATATATATATATATATATATATATATATATATATATATATATATATGAAGAAAAATATACTGAAAAAACAAACAAAAATCCTTATATACAATTATGCTGTTTTAATGTTAATATGTCAACGTCGGGCGTTTTCGATCTAATAAACCATCTTCAGGACATATTTATAAAATATAATTAACATTATCAATTCAACATGACAAAGACGATGTACATAAGAACAAGACTTATCCAAACAAATAACTGAAAGTTTTATAAGATCAGCGCTCCGTTTAAAACATGGTCACGTTGTCATCACGTGGGCGACGCTGTGAAAACGTCTTCCTAAAATTTTGAATGAAAAATGAAAAGAATTCTATTTTGATCTAAAATTTATATGTACGCTTGTCGAGCATTAATCTCACTAGAAAAGGGGAAATACTAAAGAAGCCAGGTCTAGTATTCACCGTGCGTGAGATGGATATTATGCCTGCTTCATAAATCCGCCTAAGATTTTTTATTATGAAAATATTTTTTAAATCTTCACGGAATCAAAATCGAAATTATTGTGACGTCGCCCTCCTTCGCAACGTCGACTCTGTCGTTGATCTCGTTCGCGGCTCCAACACGTGACGTGATGTGGCATCGATCCTGGTTTAAACGCCCCTCCTTGGTCGCAGCGTCGACTATCTTCGCGGCTTGTGACGTGACGTTCGCCCACGAGTCGATCCTTTACCAGTTGTGACGTTTTTTTGCCGTCAGCTTTCGCTCCTCGCTGCTCCCAAGTACGTTCCAACCCTCTTTGAATGATTACCAGTTTTGTTCCCATGAACACCTGGTTACTAGGGTAATTTTTGATCTCCGGTCTGCCTAATATGATTAGATTTAGACAGACGGGATCAAACAGGTCGCCGTATGTCAGCTTTCAATAAACTACAAGTAAAGAAAAAAAAAAACTCACGAGGCAAAAATTATGATATATATTTTATATAATGTTCTGTCTAAAATTATTCTATCCCGACCCGTTTTGTGGACTCTATCTATCTATCTCTCTCTAGAATTGTTGTCGGATGCTTTGGTTTTTATCAATCTGTCGTTCATTTCTTCTCTTCGGCTTGAGTTGGACATTATTCGCTCGGCTTGAGTTGGACGTTTTCTTCTATTTGGGTTGGACGAATTTCCACCTCAGGCTCTTTCAACTATTCTAGAAACTGCAACTAACTTCTTCTTCTTTTTCTTGAAGGTCCGAACTTCTCTCTGCCGTCTGAGGTGATCTCTTCTCTCTGCTCACCGAACTGTTCTGCTTGTTTGGCCTGCAACTATTCTGGCCTGCAATTCTATTTTCTGGCCTGCATTTCTCCTATTTTACTCTTTTGCTTGTCCCTGCAGCTCTTCTGCTCTTGTCTGGCCTGCATCTTCTTCCCTATCTGGCCTGCAATTCTTCAGCCTGTCTGGCCTGCAATTCTGCTACAAAAATTTTCTTCTCTTCGACTTGGCTGCAACTTTCCATTCGGGCCAAAAATTCTTGCCCGGAACAACAGGGCCCGCCGTCCGCTCGCCAACACTCTGGCCGTCTACCCCGCAACGTGTTTTTCTGTCGATTGGGGTCCTCACTCAACAAACTGGGGTACTGTCGGCGTCAGGGTTTTCGATAAATTCAAAAAGTCGCATTATTTCTGATTTCCCATTATCATCTCTTTTTTCACTTCCTCATGCCTCCGGGGGGGGCGCATACCCATCTCTCCGGTCTCACATATGTCAGGTGACCGTTTTCGACCAATGGGTCCTGGTCAGGCGTCCTTTCTCCTCTTTCTCGCATATCACGTGACCGCTTTTAATGAGATTCTGGTTGGGCGTCTTCCTTCGTGACGTTCTTCAATCATTTCCCGGCTTTGTTCTGGGAAAGAACCACCTTGCTAAAAAAAAAAAATCCAATTTGGCCTTTTTCGCACGCACGAAAATGACAATCTCGGCCTTTCTCACCTTTGGTTTTTGTCAAAACCGCCTTTTAGATGTGACTTCAGGAAGAATTTTTTTCGTCTCGCTGGCGCTTTCTGTGAGCCAAACAATTGTTTTCATGTCTTTATTTTCAATAGTCAAAATCTTTATCTGATTTTTATCTTCACTTTATCATCGTGGGGGTTCTTATCTTCAACAGGTCAAGATCTGTATTTTCTCATCCCAATGACACTTCTTCCATTGTTCTAAAATCCCATTTCTCCAAATTGATAATGAGCTTCTATTCCGTGGACATGGCCAGATGTTTTTGACCGATTTTTATCAATCGTACGTATGTTTTGGAACTTTTTTTACCATGTCCGTTTTATCTCTAAACTTTTCAAATAACAATTTCATTGTTCTTGAAATTCGGTCAGATGTTGGCCTATATCTCTTGACACCTCCCCGGCTTATCTATTTCTCCTCCTCTCCCTTTCTCTTCTTCTTCCCTTAGGATCGTAAATACAATTATAAATATTCTCAAATATAATATTCGTCTAAATAACTAAAACTGGTTAATAAACCGAAAAAAATTAAATCATATTTCAGGAATATTTCTTTTTAGTTTTCTAATAATGCTTTTATGATCATTTAGTTGTGTTACAACTATAGCATTGTTTAAATTTCAGGCGAATATCTCGTTTATGTTCGAAATCACGAGATTTTACGGACCTAACCCATATATTTTAAGTGACAGATTTTGCAACTTTGGTATATATCGGATGTATTGTTAATTTAATAAACGGATATATATATATATATATATATATATATATATATATATATATATATATGTCTGTCCATGTCTATCTATCTATCTATCTATCGAAACTATCTATCTATCGCCAATTGTTTCATGCTTGTCTTTATAGTGTTCATTTCTATACATATCTGTGTTTGTCTATCATATTTGTGGAATTAACTTTAGCGGACGCTCACCGACTATAAATATTCTGCGATATATTTTCTCATTCTCTTTTACTTTTTCCGCTTACAAGTCAACATATAAGTGTCTGTGGAAAACATTCGGTTCTACACACACACACACACACGTACAAGTTTCACTCAATTTACATGTTTTGAACTTCAATTATTTCACATGCTTTTTTTTTTTTACATACATAATTATTTTCTCACTTATATACTTTTGTTATTAACGCTTAATCATTTGTTTGTTGTATATATATATTTTTTATCATTTGCAAAGCCTTCATTTTTTTTTGTGGGGGTATTCAGGTAACTCAAACATCCGCAACAAGATCTATGTACATATAAATCTATCTTTAGAGTTTTGGATTCAGCATTTTTATCTTTATGGCACTATCTATCATTATCTATCTTTCTCTATCTATCTATCTATATATATATATATATATATATATATATATATATATATATATGTAAGCCAAAACTTTGGATTAAAAAACATATAATATGATGATTTTTCTTTCATCATTGTAAAATATGAAAGGAATTTGCTCAAAATAGACAAAAACTTGATATACTAAATGAAACATGCATATATATATATATATATATATATATATATATATATATATATATAATAAAAAGGGCTTAAAACACTAATATACCATAGTCATGGAATATTAGTGTTTAAGACTTTTATTATATCCTTAAGACATTGAGTTCTACCTGAATTCATCCTCTTTGTATTTTTTTATTCCAAAAATATATATGTATTATAATGTATGTGTATATATATTTTTGATATGTATGTATATTTACCACTAATATTAATCATTCATCTATCATCTATCTATATATATATATATATATATATATATATATATATATATACAATTGAAAAGAACGAAGAATAAATTTCTAACGTTCAAAGCATTAACTCAGCAAGAGTCGAGCAATAAATATTTATTATAAACTGCTAGATTAGAACGTGTAAGTAAGCACTCCAAAATTTTAGATGTTCTTTCGACGTTTTATAACACTTCTCAGCAGGTAATTAAGAACGATTCCATGGTTGTTAAGACAGATAGATAGATATATAGATAGATTCCGAAGTTGTCTAGAGGCCGTGATTGAAGTCAATGACGATTTTACTGAATAAATTTAAGCTTTGTATTAAATGTATTTTTTGTGTAATTTCGAAAAATATAACATTTAAAATGAGATGTCAGTGTTATTTCCATAATTTTCACGACAATTTATCCATCGCATCATTTATATCTATCTATCTATCTATCTATCTATCTATGTTCATTACCTATCTCTATCTATCTATCTATCTATCTATATTCATTATCTATCTATCTATCTATCATTATCTATCTATCTATGTTCATTATCTATCTATCTATCTATTTTCATTATCTATCTATCTATCTATCTATCTATCTATCTATCTATGTGTTATGGTCCGGGTCCTTGTACCACGGTGATAGTCCAAAGTAGAACCAATAAAGAAGAACTCGAACACGTATATGGAATAACACAGACATATTACAAACAGGAATATATACAGAGAGGTAGAAAGTGTTAGTACGAACAATCAGGTTTAGTAGTAATTGTCTGAACGCGACTCTGTTTCGGACTGCCTCTGACTCAACTGACTGACTTGCTCGCTCTGAGTGACTGACAGACTCCTGAACGGACCTCACTCCAGATTTCAGACTGAACTCTAGACTTCAGACGGAACTCCGAATTATCTGCTCCCTCTTGAGGCGCAGTATTTCTTACGTATGGAATAGTCCATTTTGTTATTATGGGTAACGTTCCATAACACTATGTTCATTACATCTATCTATCTATCTATCTATCTATCTATCTATCTATCTATCTATCTATCTATCTATCTAATGCAATCAGTCTGTATCTATGTAACAGTCGTTCAATGAACACTGTCTTCAGCTTAGAATTTAAATATGCGCTTATTAGATCATCATTTTGCCGAGTTAACATAGAAGAAATATGCAATCATCTCTATTTCCATTTATCTAAGAATAATCATATTTGTATATTGAAGCAACCTTTATGAGTTTCACCTGTTCATCTTATTCTAACTATGTTGTGTGCTGATCTCAAAATGTCACACGTTTTAACAAACGGTTCACTCCCTTCCTCTAATAGCAAGCTTTACCTTTCCTTCTTAAGTTCAGTGAACTTTCTGTTAGCACCTTGTATCAATTTCCATTTAACTTTTTTGCCTGATATTTGCGGCAAAAGCATCAACGTGTGTTTCTTCTGATGAATTATATACATATATTGTTTTGAAATAAATGTATACCTAAATTATATTTGCACAGTATGTTAATTGTTCTTGCCAACGCCAAATGAATTGGCTACCAGCGTTTGAATTTCAAATAGGATTGGTCAGTTCGAGTCTTCAGAGAAAATAATTAATACCTACATTCACAACTATATTTCGCTGATATCCTATTGGGATTGCGATATAAAATATCTTATTACTTTCGGCTAACAGCACCAACCATTTTCAAAGCGGTTTGTTGCTTACTATGTCATTAGTTTATATATTTTTTAAAATACCTCATTTCACATGATGGTCGGTATCACGTTTCAAATATCAACGAAATTACATCAAAACTTGAACCCAACATATTAAAAAATATTTCCTTAACATATTTCATTGATGGAAAGAAAGAAAAAACAAGAACATCGAATAATTCCCGGTTGATTTCGCCAAAAATTGATAACGGTCAACAGGCGAATAGCGTTGTTTACAAAATTTAACCAATTTGATTTAACTGATAACGTAAAAAGCAACAGACGTCTTTGAAAATAGTCCGTTGTGCTCGCCAAAGTATTTAGATAGAGAGAAATACATATTCTAAAAGCAACCGGAAATCGGGAAAAGAAATTATTAAAATAGTTATATGGATAAATAAAATATTATGAAAACGGAACATGTGCGAATTTTTTAAAAAGAAATTAAAAGTAAAAAATTATGTACAAAACACTATAAATATATAATATATATATATATATATATATATATATATATATAGTTAAATTCCCAGATGAATTCTGTGGACAAGACAGATTGGTATCAAATGTCAATTGGAAAAAAAATCATACATTTAGCCGACGCGTTTCGTCTTCCGACTTTTTTCAAAAATGAAATCGAAATGTTTTTTGTTGTTATAGTTACATTAAAATTCAGTCTATCTTTTTTTTTAATTTTGAATTTTAATGTAACTATAACAACAAAAACATTTCGATTTCATTTTTGCCTTGAAAAAAGTCGGAAGACGAAACGCGGGGCAAATATATATGAAGAAAAATTTGGAAAAAACAAATAAAAATCCTTAAATGAAATTATAAAGTTTAAAATGAATGAAATGTCGACGTCTGACGTTTCGGTTTAATAAACCTTTTTTTCAGACAATATTCATTAAAATACAAATTCAGTTCAATTTGACAAAGACGATGGACATAAACAAGTCTTATCCAAAACATCGTCTTTGTCAAACTGAACTGAATTCAAATTCAAACTGAATTGTATTTTAATGAATATTGTCTGAAAAGGTTTATTAAACTGAAACGTCAGACGCCGACATTTCATTCAATTTAAAACAACATAATTGCATTTAAGGATTTTTGTTTGTTTTTCCAAATTTTCTTCATTCTGTCGGATCTATATCCATTTACATTTGCATATATATATATATATATATATATATATATATATATATATATATATATATATATATATATATATATATATATATAATCTTAAAAAAAATGCTAAATATGATAAAGTGCTCAGTATCAGAGATAGAGCGTTTGTAAATATAAAAGTGAACATTGAAGTCAACACTTTTTTTTCTCGGTTATTTATTTATACGGCTCAGTGGTGTATTGTGGGTAGTCAATTTTGGCGGTTATTTTGCCGGAAGTCGTTTATCTGTTTATTTCTTTATTCATTTATTTGGGTTAGATTATTTTGCATGTTTTTTATTTATTTTTAATTTTTTTACAAAAAATTAAAAATAAATAAAAACCTTAGCCTTAGTCTTAGTCTTCTGAAAGTATAATATTATTTTTCAAATTGCTATGACTTTGTATATTCTTCGATGTGCATTTAAGTTGTGCGCATGTCTTTGACTAAGCTTTGTTTCAATGGAATTATTAAATTACGCCAGCAAAATAATACCTGAAGGTTGATTTGCCTTTGAACGAATGAAAATAACCATTGCTCTTTCAACACAGAATTAAGTAGAATGTGTTAATTAAACACCAGATTGGCTTTTAGTTATTGAAAGATGTTTATGCAATTATCGGGTTCATCTTGTATATTGTGAAGTCAATAGTTTAGCGGCAATAACAGCATCAGTTTATGAAATCCATTTAAAGAAAAATTACATTGTGATTAATTATTAGTATACAAATGCATTTACAATCTTGTCTTAATTCCGATATATATAAATATATATATATATATATATATATATATATGTATGTATGAGTATATATATGTGTGTACGTATATATATATATATATATATATATATATATATATATAGATAGATAGATAGATAGATAGATAGATGTGTATGTGTGTGTGTGTGTGCGTGCGTGCGTACAATGCTTTTACTAACCCAACTATTCAAATATGATATCCATTGGAATAACGTTGAAACTGATAAAAACATTCCATCTTTAGAAATCATTTTGGTTATGAAACTGTGCCGATATTAGCATTCGAGGACCTTTTACTTTAATAAGATTTCTCGAATATTCGGGGTAAGAGACGAAAATCAATAAATATACTGCTGAATAAGTAAACTCAAATATGAGATTCCACTTTACATAGCGTTTAAAGTAATAAAATCCTTCGGTTCAATAAAATAAAATAACTATTTAAAAATTATTATATATATATATATATATATATATATATATATATATATATATATATATATTTAGAAATTATATATAAATATATGTATATATATATATATATATATATATATATTTCACACACACAAACATATATATATATATATATATATATATATATATATATATATATATATATATGTGTATTTAGGCAGAAATCCCTCTTTTATACAAGTTTGATCAAAAACGACTGAAATGTTACTGTAGTTAAGTTTTTTTAATATTAATTTTTCAAGGTTTCTCATTATATAGAAATTGTCCAAAATCTTTTATATATATATATATATATATATATATATATATATATATATTCTCATCCACAGACAGACTGTTTCGCTGTATCACAGCTCATCATTGTCGCTAGACGCCCGGTTGCCTCTAGCTATGATCTAAATTTGCGTCAGTCGGAGATTCTACCCCAAAGCCGTTGCCTCACGGCAGGGATTAATGTGAATTTAATCGTATGAATTTTTAGATAAACACACGGGGACTGGTCGAACTCGATTCTCTTTACCGAAGAGACTTGTATCATTGGTGTCTGTGTGTAAAAAATCTGATATAAAATAAATAAAATATATATGGTGAAGATAATCTCAATAAAGACAAAAGGGAGATTTTTTGTTTACTAACGCGTTTCGTTCTCGTAAACGGTAAGTTTTCGAGACTGATGTTATTGAAAACGTTAATCTGCAGCTTGGATTTATTTTCAAATGTCTCCTATTTTAAAATACATAATCCCTTCACATGGTAGCATGCATGATAATAAAAAAAATAAACTATGAAACTACACCTCCTATTATTTAAAATGAGTAAATAAGTTATCAAATTTAAATAAAATAATAGACAAATAATAATTATATTATTATATAAAAAAAGTCATTATACAAATATATATATATATATAAATAAATATAAAATAATATTTATATACAAATATATATATATATATATATATATATATATATATATATATATATATATATATATATATATATATATATATATATATATATATATATATATATATATATATATATATATATATATATATATATATATATATATATATATATATATATATATATATATATATATATATATATATATATATATATATATATATATATATATACATATATATATATATATATATATATATATATATATATATATATATATATATATATATACATATATATATATATATATATATATATATATATATATATATATATATATATACATATACATATATATATATATATACATATATATATATATACATATATATATATATACATATATATATATATATATATATATATATATATATATATATATATATATATATATATATATATATATATATATATATATATATATATATATATATATATATATATATATATATATATATATATATATATATATATATATATGAATTCTGGTGTATTTTAATTATTACAATGAGTCATTAATACAAAAATTAATTAGTGGAGTTACTGATATAAACTGGCGAAATCCGTTCGCTAACTAAATATTAAAGATGCTTTAACCCACTAATCACTCGATGAATGTTATTATCCATGTTTCTTTTTTAATTATATGATGTATTAAGTGTTCCTTAAATACGTAAGTACTTTCGACGGTTCGTACAATCGTCATCAGTCACGGGTATTATTTTGTTTTTTGGTAAAATTCGAGACGAAAAACATAATGTAAATCGAAATAGTTTTTTTTTCTTAAATGCGTTATTGATAACGGATACAAACTTGTTGAGCGTGTAGTCGCAACGCTAATGTTGAATTTTTTTGAAAATTTAAGGTTGTGGGTTTTTTACTAATATTGCAATTTAAGAATTTTTTTTGTAGGAGTTAATTCACTAAGTAAAGTAATGTCTCAGTTGTTATCCCGATACTTTTGCACGTCTGATCCGTTCTTTTAAATCAAATATGTGGTGCAGTTTAATTATTAGAAT